CGGTTCCGGCCCGGCGCCCGCTCCCTGCGACCTGGGCCTCTCGTCCTCTGACGCGCCTCCCGGGCAGGGGCCTTAGGTCCGGGCCGAGGTCTCCCACTAGAGGGCCACGATCTGCCTACGCGGCTGTCTCGCCCCAGCGGACGGCGAGCGCCTCTGGAGCCGGGACGGCGTCCTCTTCCCTCAAATCTGGCACGTAGTGGGGCCTAGTAGGCTGCTAAACGAAAGGAAGTGAGGTGGCTGGAGCCTAGCACTTAGTAGGTGCGCCCCAAATGTTTGGACATTGCTGGATCGAGGGACTTGCACACAAGCCTGGAGGTGCGGGGCACTCTGACATGTTGCCTCTGGGGTCACCGTGACACTCGCGGTGAACAGAGTTGGAAGCCTGACAACGGGTGCCTCCCAGGGCTAGACTGCGAGACCCTGAGTTCCTAGGGAAGCTATAACTGTGCAAGGTGAGAACTGAGAGAGGCGGGCAAATGGCCAGGAAGGTGACCGGCAGGACCTTCCGAGAACCAGCGTACCTGGAAACGGCGGTGTGAAGGTGGCAGCTAGGTGAGAGTGTGACAGCACGGGATGAGGCCCTGGTGAGCGCCCACTGCCAACCATGGAGAAATGCCTTTTGAAGAACCAGGAAAGAGACACCAATTTGCAAAAGGGGAGGAACTAACTTTCAGCCAGGGCCTGCTGTGGCCAGGCTCTAAGCTGAGTTGAGCACTTGAGTGGGGAGTATGTGGTGAAGAAATGAAGGCAGTAAAAGGTGATGATTCTTTCCAGAAGTTTGGCAAGGAGAGGGAGAAAAAAGTAGGCCTATAGCTCCGGCGGTAGTAAGAGTAAGGGGGAGAGGTGTTTTTTCTTTTTTCAATTTGAGGAGGAGCAAAGGAGCTAAGAGGGGGGAGCATAAAAGATACGAAATAGGATAACTAATAGTGCATGATCTCAGAAAAGGAAAAGGAGATAGGGCTTGGGGAGGGGGAGGAAGAAATCAGAGAAGAGACACACCTCTCTCTAGGTTTAAAGGATACGTAAAGACAGAAATATTTTGAGGTGGGGAGGTATGCATGACATTAACTGTAAATATTTTGAGGTAGGGAGGCATGTATACTCAGCCTTGCATGTTTCCATGATCAACTGATCAGTCAACCATAGTCCTGCTGGGCTCACTGCCGTTTAAAACTTAAGTGCAATTGGCTCAAACCCCTATTTCACTTAGAGAGGGAAACTCAGCGTATCTGCCAATATTTCAAAAAGATTCATGCGGGAACTTACATTCATCCAAATTATCACTGGCCCCAATTTCCTATTTCCAAAAACAAAACAAAACAAAACTTCATTGTGCTCTTTGAGGAAATTTATCACTATACCCTGGATACCAGTCCATTTATATTCCCCCAAAATATGGCATCATATGTGAAAACAAGCAAAATGCCCAGTGTTATATGATTGTTAAATTATAGTTCATTTGTAACCATTAAAAATCATGCTGAAGAAAAAAATTAATGACATAGGAAATACTTGTAATTCGAAAGCACATCATAAGATGATATGATACGAGCTTGCAATATATAAACACATATAAATGTGTATCACACATAGATTTTAAAACTGGACTTTTATTTTCTTCTGTGACTTTTATATTTTCTTATTTTTATGGTAGTACATTAACGTGTACCTTGAAATCAGGAAAAATGATATTTTTAAATACATTTTAAAAGGATTTTTAAGAGGTTTTTTTTTTAAAGGTATTTATGGAGTTCAAAATAAAGATATTAAGAATCAGGAAAGGAAATTGGAAATGGATCTTTGAAAGATGGATGGGGGAGGGTATAGCTCAGTGGTAGAATGTGTGCCTAGCACGCATGAGGTCCTGAGTTCAATCACCAGTACCTCCATTAAAATTAAATATATAAATAACCTAATTACCCTCCCCCCCAAAAAAGATGGGACTTTAGCAAGCAGAGACGGACTAGTTGAGGAGGCTGCCCTGTGCAGAAGGAACAGTATCACTAATCAAAGACATGGAATAAGTTCAGCAAACACCAAGAGGTCAGCTTGGAGCAAAGGATTCATGTGGGAGAAATATAGGTGAATCAGTCTGGAAAGGTAAGGCAGGCTATGGCGTTGAATGCCAAGTTCAACACTTTGTAATTTGTACGTTGGGAGACTCTGGGGCTTGAACTGTACAGGTGATAAATTTTAAAGTAAATTTTCCTGTATGAGGTTCTAGATCTTAACCCTGCTGTCCTGATGATATTTGGATATTTGATTGACTCAGAGTGAAGAGGTAGGGGCAGCAGTTTTTTCATTCCAGTTGTTTATAGAATGAGAAGTGGTCATTGCTTCTCCGGTTACTCTTTACTATAATTTTTATTCACAAGGCAATTTTACAGAGCAAATTAGTAAAGAGAGAAAATGAAAGAAAGGAGAAATGTGCACTTTAAATCAATGCTTTGCAAAAACTTTTTTTTTTTACAGCTTTTCATGAGGTTGGCTTTTTTTAGATTTCATAAGTAAGTGAAATCATACAGTATTTGTCTTTCTCTATCTGATTTATTTCACTTAGCATAATGTTCTCAAGATCTATCCATGTTGTCAAAAGTGGCATGATTTCCTTCTTTTTCATGACTGAATAATATTCTTTGCACTCTTTTCTGACCATGACCCTCCATAAGAAATATATTCCACATTTCAACCCAGAATATACACACATGTGTACACAGGCACACACACCTCTGAAACAAAAAGTTTCATGAAATATTACCATTATTTCATGCAATGCATGCTGATATTTTCAACTTTATTATTTTTTATTTCTTTTTAAATACTGGGCCTACTACATTGATCTTGTGATCTATTATAGGGCTACAAAACGCCTTAAGAGACATGGAAAAAAGATTATACTATTATTCCCTGCTACATTTGCATTTCTCAAACAGCCATTCAGACAATGACCTTAAATTTGCCATGTTTACATGCCCCAGAAATCAGCAGGACAGACAAGACTCTTTCAGGATGTGGTGGGGGAGGGGATAGGAGGATTGGCAGAAGCCATGTTTGGATTTCTCTTACCTTCTCCGTAAATATTTCCTGATATCAACATTTCTCAAGAGCTATAAATGTTTTCTCTTTTGTCTAGCTTGAGACCCAGGCCGAACCTCAAACAAAGCTAGACTACTACCAGATTATCAGAGACAATGTTTCATTTGAATGAACAGAATCACGGACTAAAATGAAAGGGAAACTAATGTATCTTAATTGGGGAAAATAGAAGCCATCATATCCAACACGGTTGGAGTATTCCAGGGACAGTAAGTGCTACCCCTGTCCTAGAAGTTTGAACTAGTGAAAAGATGAAAATATCAACTTTATTACCAATAAAGCTGAGCTGAGGAATGTCTTGGATGACGACCAATAAGCTTTTGACCATTCTTTGAATTAAAATAATCTCCCCCAAAACTCCAGCCTTCATTTTGTAGAGACCTAGCAACTTGAACCATGTCTGATTAAAGAAGACTGCACTCTCTCTAAGAGCAGGCAGACCCAAAATCACCCATTAGGTAAGTCACTCCTCCTGGAAGAACCAGAACAAATTCTTTCCTACCTGCCCTCCTATGGGGGAAAAAGATTAGGGAATAAGGATTTATCCCTACACAAACAAATTGGATCTGGCCCAGTAGTTGGTCAGTTAATTAGAAAAGTATATTACAGCAGTAAATTATAAAAAGTGGTAAATACATACCTTAACATTTTATTTTTACTTCACACCTATAAGGAACACCCACTTGCCAATCTTTTGATGTGAGGCCAAACCTTTTCTTTGAGCAAAAGTGGTGATTAGAGTTCTTGAGTTGTCTTTCCTACATAATTCATATCCGTGATATATTTTCTGTGCTTTCCAATTAATTTCTTTAAAGTTAACTGAGGACTTAAAACTTCTTGCAAAGCAATATTACCAGAGGCCCCTTTAAAAAAGAAAAAATCCTCTGTAATTGTCTCACCCAGATCTAGTTTGACAGTAATTTTCAACTAGTCTTTAATTTATATTTCCAAAGCATTCAACTGGTATTTCATAGAAACAGCTCTTTTTCATGTTTATGTCTCATCAGTTTATGTGATTTTAATTAAATTAATTATACTCTGGCAAACAGCTGTCATAAGCAGTTTTGGGACCAAACACAACAGACTCTTTTTAGACATCTAATTCAGCTAGTAGGAAGAAGTGTGTAGGTATTCCAGAGATGGACTAACTAGTCCAAAACATTCAGCAGGCATGGGCAGTAGTCAGTATGTTTATTTGGAGGGAAGGGAAAGGGTTGATTACAGAGAGTCCATTAAAAGAAGGCCAGTTAATGCTCATAAACAAATATAACCAACTCTGGGTGCATATAGCTAAACATTCTTCTTCCATCATTTATCCATTTTATAAATGTTTATTGCTATTCAGGACAGTGCCAGGCACTATGCTAGATCCTGAGGAAGCACAGCTCACTGATGAGGAAGAAACTAGTATGTAAACAAGATGAAGAGGCAGAGTGGAGAACAAATGTTCAGGAGCAAATCCCTTTACCTTCTCTCCACTCCATCCCCTCAAAAGCACTGTCCCTCATTCCCATTTAGCCAAAATATAGCTCTAAATGGCTTGGGATTGGTATGGTTATCACAGAAGTCCGAATGGTAACACCACCTACACTACATTAGCTTTATATATATGCATATATCTTAAGTACTTTCCAATGCTAATAAGATGATGCATTGATGAGATGGTACATTCAGAGAAAGCTGTGGCAGAGGGAATTGGTATAATCCTCTTCAAAAGCAATTTGACAATACTTCTGAAAAGCCTTAATAGAGATGTGACTCTTTTTTGACTCATCAATACCACTCCTAGAAATTTTTCCTCAAGAATTAATCCTCCCCAAAAGAGAATGGCCACATGCACAGTATTTACTATAACCTTATTTTTGAAAGTTTGAGACATATGAATGATTAAGTAACTTATGGTATGCAACACTGTATAAATTACTATCGAGTACACACACAATGGGGTAAGAGAAAATATTTGATTACATATTAAATGAAAAAAGATACAGTTTGCTCAATTATACTAAGAACCACTGAATTATATACTTTAAAAGGGTGAGCCTTGTGAATCATATCCATTTTTTTTTAAAAAGAAACAATTCTGTATTTTTGCTTTTGTATCAGCCAAAATCAGCAGGAAACAGATGGGCCCCTCAAATATGTAACTGAAGAAAGAAAGTTAATGAAGGGACAGAGGACAAAGATGAGGGAAACCAACAAAGGATAATAAAGCACCCCAGGGCTATTACCTGCTCAGAAGCCATTATCAACCACAGGCCTGAAGGGGCAAAGAGATGGAACCAGTGCTCAGTTGACAGCCAACAGCTGAAGGAGAGGGAGGGCCAGTGGGAACTTAGAGGAATATAGCTCACTCTTTCTGTCTCTCTTTTTCTAATCTCCTGCAGTACCTCCTACTGGCTGAATTCAAGAGGAAGCCTAAGGGCAAGGGAGTCCAGATGACACTCTCCTTCAAGGTTAGCCTCTGGAGAAGGATAGAGAGTGGATCTGAAGGCAGAATACCCAGCAGGTATGTAATCATATAACAGTGTGAGAACTGTCTAAGCATATGGCCAAAGGCCAAGGGAACCTGGAAAAGCAGTCTTTCTAGATAAAAAGTGGAGATAGTTGGAGAAGGGGTAGGCTAGGTAGAGATGGCAGGAAAGATTGTTAACTCAGGCTGAGACGAGGATGAGAGCCCAGCACGGGAACAATTTATCATTTGGTCAAATTCTGAGCTCTGGAAGAGATTAGTAGGAGATACAGAGCTAAATTAGACAAGAGTATGAAAAATTCTTTCCCTATTATCTATTACGCTGTATTTCTCTTTCCCAACTAAATTTCATGCCTTCAACAAATAATTGTTTAGTACTTATTATGTGCCAGAAACTGTTAGGCCCTGGGGATTGAGGAAGGAACACAGGTAACATCCTTGCTCACTTGGAGTTTACATCTTGGTGGGAGGAGTTGAACAACAGACAAGTAAAGTGCTAGAACAAAAGCACAGGAGATCAGGGAAATAAATTTCTGCCCATTCTGCCTTGTAGAAAACTCTTGATTTAGGCCATACATGCCCACACACACCAGAGCTCCTGAGTAAATCTGGACTTTTGTATCTCTCACCTGGACTAAGACCAGACTATCCTAATTGATCTTCCTGCCTCCAGCACACTCCAACCGGTCCTCCACTCTGCTGTGAGAATCTTTCTGAAATGAATCTTGCTAGTACCCTGCTTTGAAAAGTACCCCCCAATGTTCTGATTTGCTTATCATGTGGAATCATGCCTCACCTCATTATCATGGACCTTATCTTCTGGATCCCTCACTTGCATGTACCTCTCTCATTCTCCTTTTCTACCAACACTAATTATCTCTAGTCTATTGGGCATGTTGCCCTTTCTCTCCTTCCTGTCCCTTTGTGCTGCTCCTTCCATTTGGAATGCTCTCCAAAACCTCCCCGCTTCCTCCCAAATTTGGCAATCCTCTCCTTATTCCTTTAAATCCATTAACTGTCACCTCTTTGGTCAAACTTTCCAGATCTCCCCTGGTGTGAGGGAGTATCTTCCAGTTCCTGCCTTTGTGTTACCAGTATATGTTATAGGTACTTCTCAGTGTATTTACCATACCATATAATCCTATGTCCTAGAGCTCAGGTGTACAGGATTGGGTTAAACATGACCCATGGGTCAGGGACTCTATATATTGGTTCATGTGTGACGCTCTTTTGTTACTTATCCACCCTAAAAACTAGAATTGAGAGCTTACATATATTCCCCCCATACAGTGTTTAATCTTTTTTTCTTCCAGTTTTGTTGAGATATAATTGATACACAGTACTGTGTAAGTTTACAGTGTACAGCATAACGATTTGAATTACATCATGAAATGATTACCACAGTAAGTTTAGTGAACATTCATCGTCTCATATAGATTCAAAATAAAAGAAAAAGAAAAAAATGTTTTCCTTGTGATAAGAGCTCTTAGGATTTACTCTATCAGCAACTTTCATAACATACACCAGTGTTCATTATATTACTCATGTTGTACATTGCATTCCTAGTACTTATATCTTATAACTGGAAGATTGTACCTTTTGACAACCTTCATCCAGTTCCCAGACCCCCTCACCCCACTCTCCCACCCACCTGCATGCCTCTGGCAACCATGCATCTGATCTCTTTTTCTGTGAGTTTGTCTGCTTGTTTCTTTGGGGTTTGTTGTTGTTGTTGTTGTTTTTAATATAATTGACCTGTAACACTATGTTAGTTCCTGGCATACAACATAGTGATTCAATATTTCTACACATTACAAAATGATCACCATCTCATTGCTTAATCTGTTTATCATTTTCTTGCTCTTAAAAATATTTTACCTAAAAATATTTTATTTAAAAAAATTTTAATTGTCCTAGCTTTATAAACATTTAAAGTTAAAAAGTGTTGCATTTTAAGAAAGTTGCAGTTGAATGTGTTTATATGTATTATAAGCTATATGTATTTTCTCTTGCAAAATATCTTTTTGTATCTTTTTGCCTACTTTTCTATTGGTTATCCTTTTCTCATTAATTTTCAAGATTTCTTTATATTTTTTCTTTATATGTTCTTTGCAGTTTTTCTTTTCTTAGAAATCAAGTACACTAAACTTTTTAAAAATTTTCAAATATTTGTATATGTCTTATAAGTATATATTTATGTGTGTGTAAAAATATGCATACATATTCCTAAAACATACTTTTAAAATTTATTTTACTTTTTAATTTTTTATTGTTGTGAGGGGTATATATATATGTATTGTTAATAGTTTTCTTTATTAAAATGGTACTATTCCCTACATAATATCCTGGGACTTCTTTTTCACTTTTCATGTTATGTTACTAAGACTCATCTCAGGCTTGTTGCATGTAGTTGAGTTTATTTATTGTGGCTGCTATAGACTATTTCAGTATGTGAATATGCTAATGTTACTTTATCCTGGCAGCAGCAGAAGCTTTTGGTACACTGTGTTCTTCCCTTTCTGTGTTCTTCCCTTTGGCCCACATCTGATTTCAGCCAAATGTGTGGTGGCCAGTTTTGTGGGACCTCCCATTTACTAACAATGTCCACTGCCAGAGGCCTTGGGCCTCTCCAGTTCTGCTTTAGGCCCCTTCTTTTGGGGGGAGGCAATTAGGTTTATTTAATTAAAATATTTGTTATGGAGGTACTGGGATTTGAACCCAGGACTTCATGCTTGGTAGGCATGCTCTCTACCTCTAGAGCTAAGCCCTCCCCCAGGACTATCTTGAATGCTGCAGAGCCTTCACAGCCCTCTCCCAGGCACAGACTGAAAGTAAAGAGAATTTACCCTCAAGCAGTGGGGGATGTGAGCCAAGAGATAAATGTCCTGTCTCTCTTTCTTCAGATGGACGATTCTAGGAGGCATCTTGTATATTTCTCAGATGTCTCCCTGGAATCACACTCCTTACATTGGCTTTTCCTGCTACTTTGCCTCACTGTCCCTCTTTCCTTCGCTCTTGCTGCCTGAAATCACTTCCCCAATAAACAACCTGCACCCAAGTCCTTGTCTCTGCTTTAGGGGACCTCAAACTAATGCAACCAATTTCCTGATAATGAGCACTTGGATTGTTGTAGGTTTTTGCTGTTGCAAAAGTGCTCCTAAGATTGAACCTAGGACCTCATGGGTCCTACCACTTGAGCTGTACCCTCTCCTAGTTTGTACTTCTTGATGATTAATGGAGCTGAACATATATTCATTTATTTATTGACCATAAATATTTCATCTTCTGGGAATTATCTTTTCAAAGCTTTTTCCCATTCTCTCTTTAGATGATTGTCCTTTCCTCATTAATTTTACCAATTTTTTGACACATGTGGTGATTCTCCTTTAGAACTCAGGTGCTCAAAATAAAGTTAACCATAATCTTCACTGAATATGACATTATTTACCTATTTACAAAATTAATGCATGCTTGAGGGGAGGATTATAGCTCAGTGGTAGAGTGTGTGCTTAGCATACATGAAGTCCTGGGTTCAGTCCCCAGTACCTCTGTTAAAAAGTAATATCAAACAAACAAATAAACAAACAAACAAACAAACCTGATTACCTTCATCTCACCCCCCAAAACCAAAAATAAAATCCAAAATTAAAAAAAAATCCCTTCAAATTAATGCATGCTTGTTGTAAAAGAAACATGTAAAAAATACAAATATGTTTAACTTAGTTTTCATTACTAGTGGCTTTACCCCACCTCCAAGCAGGAATAATTTCCATGAATAATTCGCCACCCCATATTTTGGGGATTTTATTGTCACAACTATCTCTCAGATTAGATTGATAATTTCTCAAGGGTAAGGACTATCGTATTCATCTTTGTATTCCTAGGCCCAGGCAGAGTGCCTGGCTTAGACCACAAATGGAATACATTATTGTTGAGTGAACCGCTGAAAGCTGGGCTACAGCAGAAATTTTGAAGTTACCAGAAGACTTCACTTGGGAACAGAGGGCTCAAGTGAAAGAAAAGTGGGAGATAGCACTGGTGAAATGTGCTGGGGCTAGATTACCGAAAGCCTTGGCCGTTGGGCCACAGTGTTTAATTTTTATCTTGGAGGCAGCCAGCCAGGAAAGCATTCAAGACTTTTCAGGTGGAGGGAGGCTATTTGTTCTTATGTTTTTACCAGTGACAGAATTAGAACAAAAAACTGACAATCCAATCATCTAATGGCAATGTACAGGATGTAAGGGGGAGGAGTTTGGGGAAAATGAAACTGAAGACAGAAAAATGAATGAATCAAGAAGTAATTAATTTAGGGGGGCACAGACTCCCATGAAAACTGTTTATTTCACAAAAATAGACATAAACTCAAGCCCATGCACTTTTAAGGAACCCTTTGATTTGTGTTGATTATTCTAAGAGTGAGAGAATAAGAATAAACCACAGAGGCAGGGTGTGTTCATTCATTTAAACATGTTTATCCATCTCCTGCTACATGCAAGGCACTGTGCTGAGTGCTGAGAACAGACACTGTCCAGTTTGAGGCGTGGGATACTGTATGGCATGGTGGCCAAGAGCACAGACTCTGAACCCAACTGTCTGGTTTCAAACTCCTGCCAGGTGTTTGGAATCTTGGCTAATTTACTGAATCCATCTGCACTCCACAGATGTTTGACAGAGACAGTACTATCACCACCCTCATGATTAAGGGAATCCTACATCTCCATAAAACAGAATTCTTGGCATGCAGAGAGCCCTCAGCAGAGCTGTAAGGCAGAAACCAGAGTGGAGAGCAAGAGGAGGAAGCAGAGAGCACAGGTTTGATTTCAAGAACTTTGGCTAAAACAGAAGAGGAGAAAGAAGACTAGAGGGGGAAGTAAGGGCAAGGAAGAATTTTTTTTTTTTTTATCTGAAAGAAATCCTCAATGCTGACAGGGAGAATGTAGCAGAGGGGGAGAGGCTGCAGAACATCACTGCTGATCTGTTCTTTCCCTCTAAGGGTACCCAGATGACAGGATGGCAAGGGCTCTCTGGCAAAGGTA